AGATCTGTATGAGCTAATTCACATGTCTGCACTTTGAAATACCTTGTCTTTGAGAAGGAACGAGTGAAGAGAGATGGAAAAAAGATAGAGGCACAGCACAGTCTGTTTAAATCTCCAATTGGGCTGAAGGACATAACTGCTAGACTTGTTTTTTTAAAGTATTGCTCTCAACTGTGCTTTCAAGTGCTTGTGTGAAGGGCTAAGTGACATGGCCTCATTTGCTCTAAGCTAATACCCAAATGTGTGACCATATGCTACTGTAGCCTATACCAGCAATTCAGAACAGCTGAGATCAGTGCAGGTGAAGAAGCAAAAAGACTGGTGCAAAAGCTTAAGACAAAAATAACCCCAGCCCTTAGCTACAGGACACAGGCCAGTAAACACAGACCTAGCCAGGCTATATACACATTGCAGTACTTACAATACGGAGGCAAAACACAGAAGATCACACTGGTGAGATAGATAGATTTAATAAATTATATAAATGATGTTAATAAATGATATTATTATAACAGCAATGCTTCAGATGGGGAATACTGGTTACAAACCTTACAAGAATTTGATCCCAATGTTTTGTTGTATGATTAAGAAGATACCTTCTTCTTCTTCATACCTTCTGTAGGTACTTGTTTGCTATTAGTTCGTGCTTGCAGTTTCTTTTTCCTTGAATTTTACAAGACAACCAGGTAACATACCTTAACTGTGGTGTATCACAAGACAATCACAAGGTTAAAGGGTTCCCTGAAATAGAATAACAGGTTAGACAGAACAGTGAGTATGTGACATCATCACATATAATATGTGTTTGGCTCTTTCAATGACACAAGGTACCCATAATGACAAAGCAAACATGACTCTACTTATCCCAAAATAAGGTACAGAATTCCAAAACATATTCTGGAATCACTGTTTGTTAATTTCTGTATTTTTTTAAAAAAATGAAAGTCATTTGGCTCAATTGAAATATATAGGTTATAAGCTACAAAAACCTCATTTTTGGAGGATGGGGTTAGAGAGAGGCTTTTATATATGTTGTTTTGCTTCAGGCATGGAACTGTACATCTCTGCCATGATAATGAAACACTATAGGGTTCCTGTAGTTTAGAAACCATTGAGTTAGTTTCTATACATTACTATTGATTATTCAATGATACAGTTCTTTATGATAAACTATAGTCTCCTATTGGCTCCACTTCCTGTTGTTATATTGAACAAGTCGATATATTGTTCGGAGAGTCAAGTATTTCTCTTACAGGACACACTATGCAACGGTATCTCTAAAACGTAGTCGTACTTTTAGATAAGCTTGATATGAGGATATATGTCACGTCTTGCGATTAGAAGGACGACATCATCTTTTGTTATCCCTGGGGCTGTTCAGTCTTCACGCCAGGGGTTAACAGCCCCTAGCTCATTCTTTCATTTGGCCAGTGGGGAATTGTCTTGGCTCTGACTTATCAGGCGGAAAAAAGAATGCTTCTTAAAACCGAAGATGCAATCATGTGCTGGGGGAAGGACGTAAACTTCCATTTTTTATTCCATCTTAAAATTCCAAGCTTCCCATACCTTTGATTTTATAACACTCTCGCAACGCGTTACAACCATCAGCAACGACAATCACACTTCCAACCTCCAGTCTGCTGACAGCATAATACGCGCCTGTCCGTTTCACGACTAGCTGCCGCGCTGTGATTTTCTATTGGCTAGAAACATGACCACATGTCTTCCTCCTCTGTTTACATAATCTGTGATTGGCTACCGACGGCTTCCCTGCTGCTCTGTGATTGGTCGCGGCGTGGGCGTGTGCACCATTCAGGCTTTCAAGCATCTTGGTGTGAATTATCATTGGCCGCTTCGTCTGGACACGTGACCTAGCTGGAGCGGGGATTGAGCGTCTATTGGTCAATTCAATCATCCCTCAAAAAGAGATTGGCTAGTGCATAGGTCACCGCGATTGAATGCGGAAGTGGTGTAGTTTACTGAGTCACTGTTCTGTCAGCTGATTGTTTCTGAGTGAGTAACTCGATTGTATTTTCTTTTTAATTGTTTGAAGCTTTTTCTAAATGCTTTTAAAATGATTGTAGACGCAATTCGGAGTTTCTGCAAAATACAAATGTAATTTGCAGGTGCTCTCGATTTTATAACCACCCTTTGCAGGATGCATGTGTTCAACTCAAAATGCGTATGTGTGTTAACTGTACTTTTTTCAATATGTAGGTATGGCAATCACGATTAAGAAGCCTGACACTAGTTTAATAGGATTTCACTTTTTAAGTCACGTAATCTAGCCAGTCCTTCTGGAGTGCATTCACTTTTAAAAGTCAACATTTGATGTTTGCTCTTTGCAGAGTAGTAGTTTGGTCATGGTGATGTATTAAATTTGTTTCGGGCAAACGCGTGATGAAACGCAACAGAATAGCGCTTCGTGTCAGTCACTGAGTCTTTTAGAATCGAGCTGTCGGAGACTGAATATATCATCTCCACGAGCACCAGCAGGACTGTTGGAAAAATAGCTCGGTATCAGATCGGCCACTGGAAAGCGTATAAAATATCACATTCTGCTGACGCCGTTACATAACTTGGGGACCACTGACAAAATATTGCTGGGCTGCAGGTGGGCGGAGATGGGGGTACATGGCTCTATAAAGAGCACATTATTGTACTGCCTCGGGCAAACACACCAGGTACCAGAGACGATCGTAGGAGGGAATGTCGATATTGGGCACGGCACCAACGACTATAGTGTCGGCTGTTAATGTAATATTTTAATAGAGAGAATTGTTAGTAATTCGGGGATTCCTTTGAAGGGTTTCCGGGTCTGCAGGAAAAGTCTGGTTTTACTGGCGTCCCTTCGCTCCTAACTGATCTTTATAAACCGGAGGATTTTGGGTTGGACCTGTTACAGACACAGGGTCACAGTACATTACAGGAACGCAGCTTTGGCGATATCCATGAATGAGTGGTTGAAGACGGAGAGCAATGGAGCATCTGTTTGCTTTAATAGCCAACGTAAAAAAAAATACTATTCGTTACTGCTTTAACATTTTCCTTGAACTGCCTCTTCTTTGCTGTTTTAAAACTCTCCACTCAGCCTAAATAATACACTTCCAGCAGTCATATCACATTCTTCCACGAAAGCACAAACATTCTGCTGATGAATTGTTTTAATATTTATAAACTTATAAAATTAATATGGCTTTAGGACTTTGCTCGTTTCCCCCATCAATCCCTTCTGTTGTGATGCTCGTTTGTACTGGATGATTCACCTATTGACAGCATCACAATCGTCTCAGCTAAATCAGCTGCAGCCTGCTCTTTGAGGTATGAAAATATAGTAGCCTAATACAACA